CGATAAAGAAAATCTTTTTTCTTCAATTCTGTCTAACTGTTGTATGTATTTGACACTGAAGCGCTCTGAGAATTCCTTTCTGTTCATAATCATATTCCCTAATATTAGGCTGTACTATAGATATGTGAGGGAAATAAGCAATGAATCGTGCTAAATAATTAGTTTTAAGACTTCAAAAGCTTACCACAGTCAGTATCGTTTCCTTCTAACATGTTATTCACATATCCAAGTGCAACATATTCTTATCTTACGATTTGTCACACTCCAGGACTAAGATTAAGTGATGGATGGAAACGTGTACTTCACACGAATGCTGATGTAAATTTTGATTTCGCGTTTATCAAGATGAGCAAAGATAATCCGCTCTTCAAAACTGAACTAGAACGTTGTACATCCAAACTGGTAATTGTTAGTTTGTCGATATAGAAAGTAGCAGTTATGATTGTCCAAACATCTTTGCAAATTATCACAGATTAACAATCCATAAATTCGTTACTTACGAAAGGCTAATGATCACGAAACCTGATTAAATAACAGAAGCAGTTCCATTCAAAAGACCTGCAACTAAACCATCCAGTTTAGATTCATATATTCCAAATTCCATTGGAAATAATCTTCATTCAAAGAATATTATGAGGAACAGCTTTTAAAGTTATTGAACCAGTTTATTTAGACAAAAATCATTTGCAGATATCTGAAGTGTAAAAAGTTAGCTTGATGTATTTATTAAATAAAAATATCTGGTCATTTTCAAGTAAACTGAAAGCTCCATAAATTCTCTATACATCGAAGAACACTTAAACCTACATATGATAAACGAACGTTGGAATTTATGGTATCTATTACCAGTCAATTATGCTGCAATGGACTCTTATGGATACAATGAACTTTACTGTTATCAGTTTGGATAAACTTCTAACTTTCACAGTCTTTTATATCTCGATTTTTTGTAACGCTTACGCCAGTAAAAATGATAACATCTAATTTTCTAACAACTTTAAACACTGTTCAATTCTGACTCTGGAATTGACATGCCAATATTTTGTTGTCAAAACTAAATGAGATTACCCTTAATCTATGTAGAATTTTATTCATTGGTATTCTTAATGTACTAACTGGATGCAATACTGTAGTAAAATGCTGCGAATTCCATTCTGTATCACAAGTACTGTTTTGGAACAAAGCAAATTATTATTATTATGTCACTAAGCGATCTGATGAAGGTGAATAGACGTAGATGAAAGAGAAACTATAACAATGACTTATAAAACAAGAAACCTTACGTGTGCAGGCTCAACTAGTATCTTTATACAAATCACAGCAGAATGATTTACTTTAGAAGAATGAGAATCTTGTTATATAGACCATCTTGTGGAGACACTTAACACCACAGCTTATCTGATGATAATGAACATTGCCTTATTAAATATCACATAATCTCATCAGCTTTAAACTTCATGTTTTGCCTGTAAAAGTTTTACATTTTTTTAAGGAAAACCCCATGCCGAATCAAGATTTAGAATGGGTTCGATCCTGAGAGTTTACATTGTGAGTGACTCCTGAATTTTCACAAACAGCTGGGACGTGATACCATCTAACATTATGTACCTGTGTACTAAGTTAGATATAATGTACATAGGTTTTTCATCTATGGAAGCACACTTTTCAATCTCAGCATGGCACCAAATGAAATAATAATTCAGGCATTCATAATGAGTAATGAAATATACCTGGTGTGACAACTTTATTGCCTTATTTACAGTAGAGGTAAGTAGTTAGTTATAATTACAGAATCAAATTTCTGAGACCAGTTTAATTTCAGAAGCTAATTTATAACCATCAAGCATATCTGTCTATATGGATTTCGCATGAAATTAAATGCATATGTGTTGAAGAGAATCTCATGAACGATTCTCTTCTCAATCATTTTCATTGTTCCTATCCTTGTGAGTGACCGTATTATGTGACCCTTGTAGTATATCGATGATTTACACTTCCCAAGCAATCAAATAACATAATCACAGCACTTTCCGCAATATTAAATTTTGAGAATAAAATAATCCACTACATTATCCTCCAGAAATGAGCAACAGTAGGTTGCAAACCAATTAGGAGCTTTTGTGAATAAATTTTGGCAACCCACAGACATGTTTGAATGGGAATAAAAACGAGAACTAAAGAAAATAAGATGCACGGTCTTCGACGGAGTTTCAGTTAGTCCATTGATTCAAGTTGGCCTCCATGATAAGTGAGAAATCTTGACAGCGCATCCCTCCAACTTCTCAATGTATTTTAATTGGCCAGTGGTTCTAAGAAATTCAGTATTCTTCCCAATGCTCTCTTCAGATCTCCGGACAATTTATTTTTAAGTCATATTAAGTGTATACGTCCTGACTCTATCATTTGATGAGAAACCATTTTCACGTGAGTAGAAAATGATTGTCATTCAGCTATTTATTGAATGTGCTCAAAGATGTATTGTTCAAAATACCTTGCATCTTGAAGCCCCTGAGAAATGAAAAGAGTTAATTTCAATCCGATTGGAAAAGCACTTATAAAGAACTCCTGAATAATAATGAAATATTGCCAAGAATAAAGTCAGTTAAACATTGTACTACACTGATGGGAATATGATCCTTAAAACACTTTGCCTAGCAATCTGCTAAGCAATATCACTATGTGCATGTTACCAAATGAGCTGTAATCGTGCTCACCCGTTTCATAAAATTGAGTTTGTGGTCCATTTATGAACACTTATTCATTTGGTTACGTTTTCATTTCTTTGAGGCATGCTAGATGCACACTAACTGAAATCATTATCCATCTTCCTCAAAATTCTTACCAACTTTGTAGTTTTCAGTTCCATAACGAGATTTCTAATCAATGCTTTAAGAAATAGTGTACAACATTATACTGAAACAACTAATCTCTTGTTTGTGTGATGACTGGAAATCGAAGAGTGATCAATATAGTGCAGCGTGTTCATTTTTCTTAGTGCCTTATGTACTGAGAAAGGATTTCGTAAATTTTTTAAAAATAAAATCTATAAATTTCTAAAATAATAAAATGAAATGAGAATCAAAGTATACTAATAATAGAAGGTCTCCATTTATGTAATTGAATAGGTGTGATATTTTGGGTAACCATCGTGTGCAGATGCTGTACCTGCAGGTTTGAATAGTTGAATGGCGTGTTCGCCTGTTAATTTTTTCACGAGATTAGCCAATGAAATAGTAATGAATAGACAATAGGCAATAAATAACCTACCGCCCATTTGTTGTTTCATCGTGAAATCACACAGTTCTTCAGAGAGAGATGCGTAGCAGATTATTGTTGACCATCATTCCATCGATTCTCTTGTGTGATTAGCTCTTCATTCTGATAATAAATGGGTTGATCTTTTAAGAAAAAGGTCAGAATTTTGTGATGAGTACAAAGTGTACAATGAACTGAATCTTTTATTTCCAGTATATCTGATCACATTTCTAGCAGCCTGCTCTCACCACATAAGGAGTAACACGTTCATAATTTGTTTTCAGATATCATGTATCTACCACAATGCGAATCAAGATCCTTCATATGGCTTTTCTATTAGTCATGTTAGTGGATTTTAATTTTCACAAAGCATAATTTTGTGCATTGCTTGTCATTGTTCAATGCTCTCCCTTATAGTGTTAAACTGCACTGAACGTCTCCAAAATGGTATTGCATAAAAGCAAGGAACGTTTCTTCTAAATGTGTAGATGCTATCTTCGTACAAACTTATTTCTCCTTCTCTTTTTAAATACTAGTAGGTCTACGTATTGAATCTGCTTAGGTTAGCTAAGCTTATGTGTCACCAACAGAAAGTATTTCCCTCAATGAATTATCAAGTGATCCACTTCACAGCAAATACTGATTGGTGAAATGTTTATTCTTGGAAGAATCATTTCTACTCAAAAATGTTTCATACAAACTACATTTATCAAAATAGGAACCATTGTTACAATTTTCTTATTCACATTCTTGGTGTATTGAACTTCAAATATTTTATATCTTAAAAAATTGTATCTCATTTACTTAGCTTTCTATTTTGTGTGAATATAAACTTTTACATCAGCACCACGTTTGTTGACTTTCCTGTCTGAAAAGATTTTGAAGTATGTTCTACGTCATACTTTCTATTTTCAGTGCTTGAATCACGTACGGAAAGGTGGTTTGATGCTGTCTGTCGCTTTGGCAGACCTTCGGGGATATGTTTCAATCTACAGTTGTACCATATAAAGAAGGGACATCTGAGACCCAACGTAGGATTCTAAATAAAGCAGGAATTAGGGTGGCATTTAAATCTACAAACTCACTCAGGGACAAGCTCTGTAGGCTAAAGGACCCAGTTGAACCAATTAAACAAAATAATGTAATTTACAAAATACCCTGCAATGACTGTGAGTTAAGTCAACTACATGGGTCAAACTAGTAGGTCAGGTGTAGTCAGATTGTCAGAACCTAAGAATTTAGCCAAGGTAGGAATGGTTGACCCTGAAAAGAGAAGTAATTTAGAAGAAAAGTCAGCAATTGCGATTCATGAATTAACACACAACCACACAATTATATGGGAGAGGGTTAAAATTCTAAAAATAATATAGGTAGGTGGAGAGATAGGTTGATTACTGAATCCTTATTCATAGAGTCTACACCCAACACATGCAATATGAATGATTCATCACTCAAACCCGAAATATGGAACATATTACTACATATTACCCATAATGGGTTATTCCTAACGACTGAATTGTATGGCTTGAGTATCTTTTATTACTTCGATTTAATTTGATATCGAGTATACGTCTTGAGTCTATATTTACCTTGTCAAGAAGTTCGGTTTTCTAAATGACAGGTAGCACTAGTCAGAATCAAAATCTCAGAGTATAACAAATGTACCAGACATACAAATGAACTATTATAGCAAATAGAATTTCATCATGTCGACAACAATCAATTGGTGAGTTTTTCACGCGACGTGAATCAGTGCAGTTCTAATGCACACCAATCAGCGATCAGATAAAAGTAAATATAAAGCCACTAACTATTTGTCTTGTGGTAAAATAACACAATTGTTAAGAGACAGCATGTTTAACAAAACGTGGCTCACTATCATATCGTCGTTTTTCATCTGTAAGTTGATGTTCGTTTTTTACAATGAATGAGTTGATGGTTTATGCAGTACAGCACGTTTTTTGTAATTTCTGCGAGTTGAGTAAAGTGAATGTGATATATTGGTTTTTGTCATTTACTTTGTCACGAATGTATTATTTTTCAATCATTTTTCAGATATCATGTTTCTGCCATCATCTGAATCAGCCGCCCTCCTCAGATGGTTATGTAAGCCATATTAATCGATATTATTTGTTTATTACCGGTCAAACAGAGTAAAAACGTCTATTTAATCAATAAATGATTACTAGATGAACAGTCATTTCTTCTCACTCACCTCATTTAGCGAGGATATGTTATTACGACTCAAAATACTTATGTGATTTACTCAGGAAAATAATTCCTACTCTTAGTGTCACGGGGAATCTAAATCTTAGCGAACCTTACAATGATCTACTTATCAATAGTTTTGCATCTGTCAATTGATTTTATAGAATCAAGTCCACTAGTTTTGCAAAGCATTTTATCAGATCCCGTTTTCTGAAGGAACTGTGTTGTTTGCCTGAGATTATCTTTTATCATGTTGACGATGAGAAACTTTGGTGCCTATCATAGTCCACTTAAATAAATATGTGTACATATTATGTAGATAGAAGAAAGTTCTTCCAAAAACATTATAACGCAGATGGACAATAATGAGCCAAAATAATGTCACATATAACAACTTGAATTTCACCCTGTGTGCTCAGTCACAGTTTCCAGTTTCTATGACAGAATAGTTTGAAATCCACTGAACCACATCTTCCAAATTATACTGTATTGTCTAAATTTATTTATTTTTTAAAATATTGTGGGATATTTGTTACATTTCACAGGTACTTTTATTAACATCACTTTGCTTTGTAACGGTAAGATTCTGCTTGTTTTAGCTGACTCTTAGTTCTTTAATGTTTAGAAAGGATACTACAAATTCTCTTAACCTATCTCGTATCAAATCCTGCTAAAAGTTACTCTTTGAGCAAACATTTGTATGATATTCCATTCATTTGGAGAACGAACAAAGTCAATACAAAACATTGTTAACGTATCTTTTGACCTAATGTTTTTAGTCACACTGTGGGCAGATTCAGTTGCGTTACCACCATAAGCTAATTTCTTCTCGCTTAAAGATGTGGAGAAACGTTGTTTTGCAATGCACAGTTATTGCCATATTCGTCACTTATCCAACCACACAGAAACAAAGATCTTCGTTTTGATAAATTAGGACAATTTCGGAATTATCATTTCACTTAATCAAACTATACTACGATTCTAGAATTCATTGTAGCAGAGATAATCCCTCGTAATTCTTGATACGCCAAATGATATCAAACATCATTTATACTATGGATATCTTCTATGAGAAAGTTTTTATACTTGTCAAAATCATTTCTTCTGACACTGTGTGTTCTGATGCAACAGACAGCATCTCCTATCTGTATTGCGTATGCGTGACTAGCAATAATGGAATAGAATGTGAAATATATGAAATGTGACACTGAAAATTGTGGAGATGCTTCCAGTGTAACTGCACTTTTATAGTTAATTTATTTATATCCTGAGCTTCCGCAGTATTTTTGCATAACACATTTGCAGTGTAGACCGTAGCTACCACATTCGTCACCTCGACTGTGAAGGTCTCATAATATTGACTTCAGGAATTACGTTTTTTTTGACACCGAGTGAAATGAACATCAATTGTCGTGTTTCTATTTTAATGTTTTTGAATAAGTCATTAGGTGGAAAACTCACTTTAAACATCGAGTCAGCACTTACTCTCTCGAAGTTACCTGACAATTAGCAGCACCTTAATACGGAACGAAGATATTACAACATTTATATGCACTTCCGTAATAATGTGCTACGACTCCGTCCATTATGAAATCACTTTTATCCGATTGATAAATACATGAAAAGGAATCTCCGGTTGGCACATGTGTCTTAAAAATCAGTCAGTCAAGATAAAATTGAGTATGTTTGATGACATCTGTAAGAATTTAGTTACAAATTAAGTTTCCCATATCACTGAATCTCCACCAAACTAGCAAGAAGTATCATTCCCCTTATAACATACTTAGTTCTAGCATTTGGGCTTCAACCTTGACTTTCACAAATTAATGAAACATGAACTGTATACATTTATAATTTTTAATGGAATAATTCATAGTGAAGACAAGTGATTAACATTAAACATGAGAAATACTTTACTATTTTCTTTTATTTGTAGAGGCTACGGAAGCAGCTGTGGTAGGTCTCCCTACATTTATGATATGTTAGTTACCGGTAATTCTTGACACATCACATAAATCTTGGTAAATATGATTCTTCAGATGATGCGTCTGTGATTAACTTTAGGCGTCTGGATATAAGTATTTAAATTTCACGATGAAGTAATTGAATCAGAATGAGGGTTTGTATAACACTCGTGAGCCACGTTGTGTCCAATTATTATTGAAATTGTATTAAGTCAGACGTGTAAAAATAACTTAACGCTTGCATTCTTCACTCGCTGTAGTACGTCGTAATGTCTCACAGAATTTCAGATACACAAAATCGTACCTAATATAAACTTAAACTACATTTTATGCTATTCTTGAGTTGACCATAACAATAAAAGATGTATGTGTAAAAATCTTTCTAGAGATGATCATATTCTTGAAATAACCGTATCTACTTTTGCCTCATTTCATGCAAACTGCATAGAATTCAATGTCAGTGAAGTAAAGCTGTTTACTTGGTGACATACCTGTTTGGAGTTGCATGTATTCCTTCATGAATATCCATTTGGAAGACGTCACGTTAAGCATTAAATCTAACTATTATTGTTCACATTTGAATCAAGTTTTCAGCATTTTCAGTGTGGAGAGACAATTCCATCACACACTAGCAAAAGGAATCATTCAAAATAGGGACCGACCAAAAATGAGGATAAGTGATGTGAGTTGTCTCAAAAGAAGAGGAGCCGAAAATATAATTAAGATAAAAAGGTCAGAGAAAAACTTTATTAATAAAAAAACGTGAAGTATTCAAATAATTTTCAATACTATATTATTTATTCAACGGTTGTCAGAGGAATCACTCTGCTACATACTCTATACAGTTTATGCTTCCTGGGATTAACGTTTATTGGAAGCCCTGTCAAATAAGCATTATTAAGTGATTTTCAAATACTTGTGTGCGTTGAACTTTCAGGTTCTCACTTGTTGATTCGTCGGTCATCAACTTTATTTTCATCATCTTCCATTTGTTACCTAAATTACACAAACGTAAACAGTAACCCCACATGTCACGCATTGAAAAATGTTTCATGATTCAATATTTGTTATAAAAGGATTAAATCACTCCTATTACATCCATTATTTAATTTGGTGAATTGGAGGTGGCAGTAAGTCTCGATTAATAACTGTTTGAAATGACATTCCTGTTTGTCGCATGTCTAACAGATAATACTCTTAAGCAATATGCGGATAAACATCTTTAAACTTCAGCTAAACCTGTGGTGATGAATATGTTTGGACGATAATGACTCAGTACATCATGAATGTTACGACGTTTTACTGAAGACTGGAAGACAACTATTCTTTGTACTATTGTTTTCATGTTAATGTCAGACCCACACTTATTGACCAAGAAGTGAAGTGTGATCAAGTATTTTTAAAGGAAGACACCATTAGCTTGTTAATGTCTACACGGCAGAGACTGTGTTGTATCTGTTTGATGGTGTCTTAGTCTTATGTCTGTCAACCTTAACTGATTCTACAGCATCAACAATATTGTTTTGTGTCATTTCATTGTTAACCTCATTGATAAATGGCAATCGTTAACTTGTAATTTGACACCATCGACGTTTGAACTTTTCGACATGGATTTTAAAAAGATTGACATTGACGCACATGCTCTGAGTTCTGTTCATACATTAATTTGATTCGGTTAGTGCATGAGTTATCATGTTCAAGGATCAATTTGTTTGAAATCCAACCTGAATTAATTTTGTGAAATTGAATGTGTATATGATAGGCGACTGGTGATGGGGGTGCCGTAAGTTTCATAACTTTGACGTTTTTCAAACTTCTTGAAACCGTCCTAATGGATTTTGTGAAATTATTTTTTCCATTTGACTTAAACACACTGGACATAGCACATTAGCAGGAAAACCTCAGTAATAAACTGCTGGAAGAAGTAATATGTACAATATGGATATATATATATATATTTATAATAATATATAATATATACAATATAGATTTACATAATATATATAATATAGATTTAAAGAGTTATTCGTTAGGGAAAATGCATTCACGTAGAGAGAAAATTACAATTATTGTGTTCCAGGTTTAACTGAATATTGCTTCAGTTTTATTTTTTTACACTTCACTGAAGTGATTACCAATGAAGACGGATGATTTTTTGATGGTAGGGAGTAACAGTACCCGTTGTAAGTCGTTATGATGACCTGCTTACATTTTAATACTACTATAACTATGTGAGCGTATGCTTCGTAAAGTAATTTTACTCGTTTCGCACTATATGCTCTTCAAATTTAATCTCGTAAACGCATTATGCCCCAGGACTTCTCCTGAAGAGCAAGTAAGATCAGATGTAACATCACAGAAAGAGTTATGCTTTCTTCAGTGTGAAAGATATATGCTGTCTAAAATAATGTCTTACTCATACGTATAGTAGGCATAAAATGACTCATCTACTTCTCCACTGATATCAAAGAAACTAGACGAGGCTGCTTGCTATCTCCAATGATTTTCTCGCTTGCGATATACTAGATAATGTTTCAACTACAGGTGGACGTCACTGATGAGGATATTAAAGAGAAAGAATGGCCACCTTTCGTTAATCTTCGCGAGTCACGAAGAAGACTTCGGACAAACTGCAGAACAACATCAACAGCTGCCTTTTCTCAGTACTACTCAAGATCAGATGACCAGCCAGAGAAAACCAGCATCACGGATCTCTGAGGAAGCTTAAACCCAGCAGTAATCAACTGTGCAACAAATATATAAGAAGACATGGATGAGGATAGGCCTCAGTTCAAGAAATCAAACAAGTGACGTCATATGCCAAGATGTCGAAGCGAACCCGAGTGGGAAGGGTTCGAGTTGATCGCCAATACGAGGGTGACATGAATGAGGTCATGTGAAGAGGAGATCATAGTATTCGGGCAGACGTGAAGACAGGTGAACACCTCGGCGGAGAACCGAACGTAATGGAGACGTGCGGTGGAAGCTCTATGTTCCTCCAGGAATTAAAGGAGGCAATAATAATGATAATCTGAAGACAGAGGATACCAGAATTTTCAAATTAATAAAATTTACCGACTTTTCTCTCAAAATAAGCAAACGTACACTTTCATTTCAAATCGGTGACTTTGGATTCGTACTTCTTCATTCCCTAAAATTTTCTTTACTTTTACATCAATATATCTGCTGTTGTGTTGAGGATTTCAAACATGAACAATAGATACAGATTTATTAGATCATCAAGTGTTTGTTTCCACACGCTCTAACTGTTGATGCTGATATAATAATGACGGAGACACTTTCTCCTAATGTCAAATATTTGTTAGAATTTTCGAAAGAAATCATAGTAACTGACTCAAAAATGTTAAACATTCTCACTTGACTGCAGTAGATGAAGTATCTCATATACATGTAACACGGAGTGATGCAGCATTAATTACTGAATAACGTTTAAATCACAGTTTATCGCCTAAGTGATATAATTATGAAGAATAAATTCTGCTCAAAACGTCATCAAGTAAATAATACTGCATCACTGAGTGTTTAATGATATAAACGCATCTGCTGTGAAATTACATTAGCTCCGACGGAGTTCACTTTAATTAATGTACTTTTAGACAATATATTTTGATGATTAATGAAGTCTCAGTACTGTCACTAGAGTAGCAGTGGTTTATGATGCGAAATGCCAAGGAAGATCTTGTTCTGGTTATCTGAACAGTACAGCATAAGCCTGTATGGTCCTGATGTTTATAAATAGCTAACCTCCCAAGGTTTCAGCGAAAATCGCATGTATATATATTAAAGAACGCTTGATCGACTCGTATGAAATATGTTTGGACTCTTCAAGTTAAAGATCAACGTCATTTTTATGGTAAATTTTTACATGATTTCACCATAACACGCAGCTGCCTGAAAGTCCTTACAATTGCTTCTTTGCATAAGGTTCTTATCTGAATTAGATTTATTTAATGTTGATTTACTTCTGAACTCATTCTTTGTAAGTTGAACACCATTGAAAATGTTTGAGGTGAACGCTTTCACAATCGACGTACTATTCTCAGCAAACAGAATACCTGAAGGGAAAACTGGGTGATTATTTTATGAAGGAACGTTATCTCAGAGATAATGATAACTAACCATGTTACTGCCCCCCTTATTTCTGATTTACTTACGTTCTAAGTTTGTAAGCATGAACTGAATCTACTGTTTCCGATATGTACTAAATTATCGCAAAAGTCATCTTTGATGTATAGAGGACTGAATCAAAGGAAAACGGTGATTGATTTGCATTTCAGATATTAAAACCTGTAACATGTTCAGTTATTACTTCGATACTTGTTAGCTATTTCCTGTCTCATTAATCTACATGCTTATTAATGTTATAGTCGACTTCAATGAGCTGTTAATGAATAAAGCGAACGTGAAATGCATTCCCGTTCATTTCGAATCCTTGTGTGGTTGATTTTGAATAAAATCACCCTAGTTACCTATGTTCTCATTGCACTTTACTTTCCAAATTGCATATAGTTAAAGTTGTGAGATGGTGAGTTTACTTGTTGCACATTATCTGGCATATACGATTATGGATGAATTGTAAATATAGCCCATTTCAACGCAAACATTATCACGATTTGGTTGAGAATAATAAACAAACTGTAGCACCACCGTAGTAAGCACCATTTACATGTGACAGATGACAACTATGGATCGAAAACACGTGAATTTCCAATTTTTTTATTGACTAAGAAGCACAACGTACTCAGTGGACATTAGAAAGTATTAGCAATACTATGTGTTCTCTCAACAGTTATTTACATCTCAAATATCGTGATAATTCAGATTCAAACAAAGATTAGATATGTTCTGTGACAGGGAGCTGAAAGCACTTGTGCATCCATCTTCACATAATGTCTCTCTTTCCATATTTCACTTTATTTGAAATATGATCGATTCAAGATTGAAAAGTCATTCTAGGATTATTCGACACTCTAATATTTTTCATGGATATGCGTGCACGTAAACTACGAAATAATCGGTTTCTTACATCACTTGAGCAGTATATTTCATAGGTCTGTGTATGGTTGAAATGTTCCATAATATGAGAAGACAACTGATAAAACGGCATAATTCTATTTGTGCTCTTGATTTTCCATTTCAGCAAATAATATGCTGTGTGTCGGTGGCACAGCTGTAGAACGCTTGTCAACCACGCAGGTGGTTCGACGTTTAACCCCAAGCCAACGTACTCCTTTATCTAACTGAGCAACTAATAAGACTGATAAATCGTAAGGGCTGGGCATGGGGCTGGCAATTCCATCCCGTAAAAAAAGATACTACTACTAAACAAATGTGAAGCCCTATGTTCCTAGAGAAATAAAATGACTGAGGGTTAACAGAAGTTTCCACAGCCAAGCTTCAAAAATATAAAATTTGTTGAGTAATCATTGTATGAAGAATCTTTCATTAATTCAAGAAATTGAAACAATAGTTAATGATTCCTATTTATTATTTACATATGTTAAATGCTTTTCGATGTTTTAATTTATTTGAAATAAAAACTTTCACTTGGCTGGATCTAAATGAAAATTAGTACTGCATGTTGCCTCAGGGCATAATTCCCTCAAATTTGTGAAAATTCAAAGAAACAAGTATTCAGAGATTGCCTGTATACCCTGATCTCCCATTGTCTTTGAATAAAATTTCCCTTGCGGATTAAATTGGTATTTATTATGTTTTTCTTTTTAGGTTGCACTAACTTCACGGTCAATGATGTCGTGTTGAAATTTTACTTTTCAAACCTTGTTGGCAGTCATGACACAAATATAATTATATAAGGTTTCCATCGTCCTTTCTCTTCACCCAGACGTCACTATCAACGTAGACTATGTAGTCGAACTTTTTTTCTAATTGAGTTTGTGGGTTTGAATGCCACTTTTATTCCTGCCTTGTTAAGAATTCTGCGTAAGGCTTCCGAGGTTCCTTCTTTGTATGGAATTATTGTTGATGATTTACATTCCTTATTGTTGGTGTCGTTATTAATATTATTATTATCACTATTATTATTACCATTATTATTATTGTTATTATTATTATTGTTATCATTATTATTATTATCACTATCTCTGTTATCCTTCTTTATTTTATTTTTACATTTACTTACATATTTCTTGACTAATTTATCCGGGTAATTATTAAGTTTCAAGGCTTCTTTTATGTGTGTCACTTCCTGTCTTAGATTTTCCTTGGTACTACTTAGTTTTTGTGCTCTGTCATTTAAACATTTCACTAATCCTATTTTTACTGACATAGGATGGGATGATCGGAAATCCAAATATCTGTTTGAATGTGTGGGTTTTCTGTAAACACTAGTGTTTAGCTTCCCATCTTCTTTCCTTTTTACGTTGCAATCTAACATTGGAAGTTCCCCTTCCTGACTTTCCAATTCATAAGTGAATTGAATTGCCTCTACCTTCGAGTTGATGTGCTCGAAAAATCTATCTATATCTTGTGTTCTAAGTACAGTGAATGTGTCATCTACATACCTCCACCATACTTTTGGGGTGGGGGTGAACGTTTCAATCGCTATCTTTTCCCACCTATCCATGAATATATCTGCTACCACCGGGGATATTGGTGATCCCATGGCAACTCCCTCAGTTTGTTTGTATATTTTCCCTTGGAATTTAAATACTGTAGAAGTCAGGCAAAGCTGCACTCCCAGCATTATGTCCTCAATTGGCACTTTTGTCCTAAGTTCGAGTTCTTGGTCAGAAATGAGTTCGTTTCTGACCGCCTCTATAGCCATATTTATTGGTATACGTGTATATAAACTGACAATGTCAAAACTAACCATTTTTTCTTCATTATCTAATTTTAAATTATCTAATCTGTGTTTTAGTTCATAAGAATTAGTTAGTCTAGATTTCGAGTGGATTTTTAGGGGATTTAATACCATGGCTAAATATTTAGATAATTCATAGGTAGGTGAATTTCTAAAATCAACTATAGGCCTAATAGGGTATCCTGATTTATGAATTTTAACAACACCATACATCCTACTGGGGTTATTAGTTTTTGGCATTAAATTAAACCACTTAGACTCACCTAGAAACGGCTTCATTCGGCGTATAAGGTCCGCTGTGGATTTCTTAACTTTATTCATAACTGTGTCTATTGATTTATTAATTTCCTCATATGGTCCTGTTTGTATGTGAGTATTTACCTTGTCCAAATAGTCCGATTTGTCTAATACTACTGTTGCGTTCCCTTTGTCTGACTTTGTGATTACTATATCCTTGTTATTCTTGAGGTGTTTTAGGGCTTCTGTCTCTTGTTTTGTCAGGTTAGGTTTTCCACATTTTTGTCGTTTTAATGTAAGTGCACATTGTGCACGTACTTCTTCAGCTGTTGTTTTGTCTATCCCACTTAGTGCTATTTCTATTTTAGGGATGACATCCTCAGGTTTTAGCTTGTCCACCGCTACATTGAAGTTTAGTCCCTTTTCTAATACACTTATTTCCATCGGACTTAATATATGTGATGAGAGATTGATAACCCACTTTGATTTATCGATCGCCGTTGATTTTGGATTGTTGACTTCATTATTCTGTCATGTGACGAAAAATGTCATACATTGTTTACTTAGTTAATGAACAGACATAGCGTACTGTACGTTATGATGGAATATCGATAAATGTGCACATAGCAAAATATATCAGACTGTCAAAACAAAGTAGACATCATGTGACTACATATGAAGCATACAATCTTTCTTACTGAATTCCATTTCCACCAAATGAGAGAGAAAGGTAGAGTTGATGATAAGACGTGTGACTCAGGTCACACGATATGGAATTAGCTTGTCTATTTCTCGCATGAGTTCACATGTCTACTAACCAGTGTAGTAAGAAGCAGACTAAGTTTCGCTACACTTGCCCTACTGACAACATCAAATCCTTTTTTCGAAAAAGACATTTTTCACTATTCCAGGAAAGACTGGGGGGAAGTAGTGAAGTACAATAGGTAAGATGCAAGAGTTAACTAATGGGTAAAGTAAACATTGGGTGGTCACATTTGCTTAAGCTTCGCAATTTATTATCTTAGACGAAATATTTTCTCCGAGATAGATACAATGTTGGATGAACTAGTCAGATCAGAGGAAAGAACTATATCAAAGTATTTTATTTTAAAATAAGCATCTGTTACAGTCTTCTCTATGCTGTGAGCAACGTGTGTATTAACCAGTCGTTGTATATCACGTCTGTGTCTAAAGGAGAAGTCAATATTCTGGTATTTGAAGAATTTAACGCTAAACCATTAAGCCTGAAGCACTGAAAAGTGATTGCAGCAGTCTGACTGGGGCTTAACAATAAGAGAGAGTCAGATAGTTATCGAGTTTCATGATCTTGATTTCATTCGAATGTTTTAAGTCATGTTAGGAGAAAGAAAAGAGAAAAATAGAGAGATCAGCACCCTGAGGAGCAGCAGGTTCAATAAGCAAGGCAGAGGAAGATTCAACCTTATACACAGCATACTACATTTGTGTTAGAGAAATAAGAATACAACCATTCAACAGTTCAGGCCTTATTTTGTGTGAGGGAAAGCTTATTTGACAAAAGGCATCTGGGTACTGAGACGAAAGTAGATCAGTAGTCAAATAAGGTAAAGCACACATATGTGGCCCTTTTGTTCAATGAGGAGACATGTATCGGTTTTCTAATCGAGCATCATCTAGGTGAGATTATAGTTTTGAAACTTAAAATGAACTATATATTTTGTAGTGTCTAGTTTATTAAACAAGGCGGCCTGCTCAAATCATTGGGCTACCCGAAATTACTTTCCTCCAAAATGCTTAATTTCATCTGGATTTATCATTGTTTTATTCGTCCAGTTATACCAAATGGCCTACACATAAACCTGCGTGATGATTTGACGTCCTCTCAAATAAACACTGTACAATTCTTCAACGAAATGAAGATATAATTCAGATAATTATTTTACACGTGAATCTTGTATGAAGAAAAAAGTACTTTGGGACTGAATACGCTGAAAATGTTTGTACCTTATATTCGCATACTGTCTTAAATAAAGCTTTACCATTATAATTCAAGTGATGGTTTGTAGGGATTTGATTGGTTTCAGGATTTGATCATGAGCTGACATTAGTTAGAGAACCATTGGAAAACCACCTGGGAGTACTAGACAGCTCTCTCGTCAGTCTAGTTTGGGACTCTTCAGCAGTACACACCCACCGCCATGGTTCGAACCCAGGACCTTCCGGTTACAAGGCGAGCTCGTATACCATTAAGCCACTGGAACCCGATCCAATGGTCCTTGAATTCTAACTTCTGCCAATTCACGACATAGCGCAACCGCTAGTCAATGTCTCCGTCGAGTATTCGTCCTCAGACCCGACCGGCTGCACCCTACTGGTCACGAGCTGAGCTCATGATCAAATCCTGAAACCAATCAAATTCCTACAAACCACCACTTGAATACGAATGAGATGCTCACTGGCGACTGGCCCTATTCAGGTAGGTAGTTACCTGGGTCCCAGTGGGAAATCGTGACCAGTAGGGTGCAGCCGGTCGGGTCTGAGGACAAATACTCGCCGAAGAGATTGGCTAGCGGCTGCGCTATGTCCTGAATTGGCAGAAGTTAGAATTCAAGGACCATTGGATTGGGGATCAGTGGCTTAAGAGTCCCAAACTAGGACGAAACAGCTGTCCAGTACTCCCAGGTTTACCATTATTATTATTCTCTCCAAATAGTATCTACCATTTTACCATAACTAACTTCATACTCTCAATTTAACTTTGAATAATGTCAGCTGCTTTGATGGTAAACGTATATTCAAGATTTCGACTGAAATATCTCGTCTTCAACATTTATGCAACCTTTTATTCGTATGTGAACTTTAAAGTTATGCTGCACAAATATTTTTGTGTGACCTTGCATTGATCGACTTTAAGAGTACGCCACTTCTTTATTCCCATCTATTTGGTCATGCATTTTTGAAATCCTCGGGATATTTGGTTTGTAGAATTAGAATCTACAAATCACGTGACATTTCTCATTAAGAAATAAATACGTCAAACAGTATCCACTGTGAATCTTTACATGATATAATATCACTAAGGGTGGTGCCACTAAGAAAGGTGAATCGGTTCAGATGAAAGAAAAACTGTAAGAGTGACTTATAAAATAAGTGACCATCCGTGTTCAGGTTCAACTAGTATCTGTATTCAAATCATAGCAGAATGATTTTCGTTAGGAGACTGACAATCTTATTGTATTGAGTATCTTGTGGAGACACTTAACACCATAACTTATCTGGTGTTCATGTCCATTCCTGTATTAAACATCACATAAGCTCAATAGATTAAAACTTCATGTTTTTGTTGTTGATGGTTTTCATTTTTTGATGAAAACCCCCACACTGAATCGAGATTATGAGTGGGTTCTTTCTTGACAGTTTATACTGGGAATGGCTTCTAAATGTTTACGGACAACTGAGACGATATGCCATCTAACATTATGTATATGTGTACTGAGTTAGATATTCTGTACATGAATTTTATTGTAACAACAGAAGATAAGATCCAGGAATCAGATATCTTATTATAGAAATCAACACATTTATGGATTTTCATGTACATATTATAGATTATTTTCAGCAGAAATTCACATTCTTCTGATTGGTCGTTTCTCACAGGAAGTTCACTTTGCATCTCTTCGTGACCATTTATTTAATGTCAGATCATCTTTGTGTTAACTGTATCCGACCTACGAAAAGCCTTTGTTCTCATTTTCCTCACGACCAATATTAGGGACATAAACACTGACGTAAATTACTGTCCATCGATTTTGACTAACAGCTCTCAGCACAATTTCATCTACGAAAGCACACATGTCAATCTCTGCATGGCCCGAAATGATATAATAATTCTCTTTAACATAGAGATAATTCAGTCATTCATGATGAGTAATGAAATGTACCTGGTGTGACAATTTTATTACCTCATTTCAAATGGAGGTAAGTAACTAGTTGTAATTATAAAATCAGGTGTCAGAGACAAGTTTAATTTGCGAAGC